GAAATGCCGTTTCCTGGACTTTGGGGGAAGTTTTGACAGAATTGTGTTGGTCAGAAAACGGAGTTTTAGTATGATATTTGTGACGTTACTCCAGAGCTCTGACGTTATTCGCATGAGTATGCATCCACAGCGGGCAAGCTGGAAAGTTTGCTTGGCCACGGTGGGAGTCAAACCGGCAACCTTTGGGATACTAGTCCAATGTTTTGCCAACTGAGCTACGTGGTCAAGTCGATTCGAGTTGTTAATAGAGTTTTAGAATGTCGAAATTTACAATTTGCTTACAATTTAGTAGAATTAAATTGGCGAAGCCGTATTTAATTAACTATATATTGCAGGAAAGAGTATAGGTAATATGATTCTTTGCGGTTTGTCATGGATAATGTAGCCGCTTAATAAAATTAATCAATAGACCTTTCCCCTTATGAGTGAAATTTTGATCTAGACAAGCCTAAACAAAAATTTCATCACAGCTTCGTTGCGAAGTTTCGTTGCGAAATGTTGTAAAATACGGATAATATAGCCTTGCGAAGTTTGCCGTTTTTCAGTCATTGTATTACAAATGGGAAATTGATAAAGATCAGTTTGATCATCTGATTATCAATTTCCCGTTTGTAATGCAAAATGACTGAAAAACGGCAAACTTCGCAAGGCTATATTATCCGCATTTTACAACATTCAACGAAACTTTGGAATATTACTAATTTTGTGATGCTCTTTCAAGCTGTGGTGAAATTTTTGTCCAGGCTTGTCTAGATCAAAATTTCACTCAAATGGGGAAATTAAGGTCTATTGTAGAGGTGTGCAAATCTGATCCGAATCCAATCGGATTCGTTCGGATTTCGGAACCAAAATGTAAATTTCGGATCGGATTGATAAAGTTGTTTCGTAGTCGGATCGGACTTGGATATCCAAAATAAAATGAATTAATTATCCATGCATTATCGCAAGAATTAATTATCCATACATTTATCAAAGTATCATCGCGGTTTTCTCTGCATTATTCGTTTGATATATACTTCAATTGGACGTCACTTTGTCAGCTTCTTGACATGTATTTCTTGCTTTTATATTTATTTGGTTAAATATTTCAACATGAATGAGAAATTTATTTTATTAAAGAATTCTTCGGATCGGATCGGAATTCTTTTTCAAAACTCGGATCGGATTCGGATAGGCAATTGTCGGATTATAAACGTCCAATCCTATCCGATGCACACCTCTAGTCTATTGTCAGTATTTTAAAGGTATATTATTTAAATGATAAAGGTGTGCATGATTTTGAAAAAAGAATGATTATCAGCAAATTATTGTAAGGGCTGCAGCCCCCAGTCCCGCCCTCCCCCCGACTGCTACGGCCCTAAGAAGTAATAAACCGAAAAATATTTACCGATTTACGATTTGTTTTACGTTATCCATGTAAATGCCGTGATTTGGTAAATCAGTTTATACCAATGGTTTATACTGACAATACCATTTTATAGTATTTTCTCTGTTTCAACAACTAAAATTTTGTTCTACTATTATTGCCGTAATTTTCCGAATGGACAACCCGATTTTCCGAATATGTTAATTCTACAAAAGTTGGGGGGTTAACCACCCCCCAATACCCCCCCTCGCTACGGCCCTGCTAACACCCC